AAATTTACAAAAGAAAAAATAGATGCTCAGAGAGGTTAAGTACTAGCCATATAACCTTGGGCAGGGTAAGAAGCAAAACCAGGTTTGAAATTCATATCATCTGTTTTCAAAGCCTGTGTTGTTTCTATTATTCTCGGTCTGTATCTCCCTTTAATATCAATAAAAATTATATATCAGACATATTTGTAATTATTTTTCTACCTACCTTGTTAAATATGGTGACCATGAACATGTCCAATCTTTTCTACATTCTAAGAAAAATATAAAGGTATTCAGCATGAAAACAAAGAGAGTAAATTCAAAAAGCATTATGCAATGGAGAATCACCATGCTTCTAATGAAACAGCTGAATATAATGTACTAAATGAAAGCAATGACTAATCTTTTTCAATAAGATGCAAAAAAAAATTTGTATGGTTTTTACATCATTTGATTATATTAACACTGTCCTATATTACAGTATCATTAAAAACTGACACTTAGCTTATAAAATATCTTACCACAGAAAGGAAAAGCATTTATATAAGATGAACCCATCAAATTATAGCGGTATAAAGCATAATTCAACCACAGAAGTAGAATGCCTAATCTGCTACCAGTAAGGACCACACAGTGGCAGGTGACCTATTTCTTCATTTGTTTCTCAGCAGATATTTTCCTACTCATAGGACCAGTGTGCCAATTCTCCATCAGAATGCTACTTACTCTAAAACTTAACAAGATGAAAACACCAAGTATGCCAGACAAAGTAAGTATATTTCCTGAAACAATCTTTTCATCTGACTTCAAAAAAGTCAGAAGATACTCTATTAGGTTAGCCATCAAACTCTGTAGTCAGGTAAACTCTAGACTACTAGTTCTCAAAGTATAGTCCAGAGACCCCTATGGGTCCCCAACAGGTCCAAAATTTTCATAGTATTATTAAGACATTATTTGCCTTTTGCACTCTCATTCTTTCACAACTGTATAGTGGAGTTTTTTTCTAGAGGCTTATGACCTGTGATATCTTAACAGACTGAATGCAAGAGCAGACATGGAAATTTCGATGTCTTCTATGAAGCTAGACATTAAAGATTAAAAAGCCAAACATTAAAGTTATTTGCAAAAACATGAAACGTCACTCTTCTCAATTTTTTGGTCTTTTGGAAAATAGTTTTTTTCCCATTAAAAAAAAGTTATATTAACATGTACTGCTTTATTTTCAAATGAATTAAATATTTTTTAAATTCCTCGATTTTATTCTAATGCAGTATATTTGAATAGATATAACTTAAACGGAAGGTCTTTCAGATCCTCGATAATTTTTAAGAGTATAAAAGGGGTACTGAGACCAAAAAAATTGAGAACCACTTTATAAACCATCCTATATTTATGTTTTACCAAACAATTAAAACATTTAATTTTCTAATTACTACTGAAGAGATGCTGTTGCCCTAAAGATAATTTCAGAAACTTATCTTGAGAACAAAGTCTACAATCTTAAAAATAAAAACAGTATACACTAATGAAAAAAATCATTTATTACATCTTCCTAAAATAAAAAACAACATCATCAGAATTAAAGTACGGGCTAATAGATAACTAAGAGCTTTGGGCATGAGTTTATGATCAGGTGTGCACTGATAATCCTCCGATAGCTCCTATACCAAAGGCCGGGCTCTTTGAAAAGCCTATCCAGCAACTGTTTTCTATAGAATAGACCCAATTCCAAAATCAGCAAAGGACTAACCAAGATGCTTATAAGCAGTTCTGTGTACCACAATCTTAACATTTCCAAAATAAAAAAGTTTTGTTTCATCTTAACAGTTCAGTATTTCTGATTAAGCCATCAATCTCCCATTTGGATCCAATCCTTACACTGGCAGTAAATTATAGCAGGTGTAGCAATCCGTGCAGTTATTAGAAACCTTCAGGATTCATGGCAATAGTTTTTGAGAAGGCTGGAGGAAAATACCTTTGAAAAATAGCTTTTGAGGCTGCTGGAAGCAGTAATAACAATTTTGCACTTGGTTCAGTCTAAAATTAAAAACTGTAATATTAATATTACAGTTAAAGACCCTAAGTCAACAACTGTCTAATTCAAAAGTTATTTAGCCCTAGGCTACTTCAATAGCCGAGTTAGCAGGTGACCAAGGGCCTTAGTAGGAAAGTACTTAAAGGCTAGAAAGAAATGGTTTTCCCTAAGTATTTATTAATTGAACACATTTATGATATTGTCTACTACTTGCAAGATCCTGAGCAAACTAAAAAGCTCATAATCTGGTGGTAAGACAATTCCATAGGAGGAAGTATACATAAATAAATGCAATATATAAATTCAGAAGCTACTCTAGACAGAATGAAAGAAGTTCTATCTGAGAAGTATTAGAAGAGGGAGGGAAAGGAAAGAAGGATGTCTTCTAATAAAAGGGATCAGAGAACATACATCCTGGTAAAGAAAGTCTCTAAGTTGGGCCCTAAACACACATAACATTTCAACAAGTAACCGCTGGGAGTGAAAGGCATCCCAGGAAGAGGAAGAAGTATACATTCAAAGAAGAGCCTGTACAAAATAGCTTCCATAGTACTTGTGATGGACTCGAACAGAAAATAGACTGGAAAATTAGGTTGGAAGCAAAAATAGAGGGACTTAACTATGGCAGGGTAAGCATTCTGGGGCTTTCTTCAGTAGGCGAACGAAAGCCAATGGAAGGTTTTTAAAGTCATTGGAAGATTTACCATTGGAAGATAAATCAAATGATACTTTAACAATACTGCGGATTGGACAGAGTAAAAACAGGGAGAACAGTTAGTGAGGTATCATATTAGTCCAGGAAGAAAATAATAAGAGCTTGATCTGGGTTAGGAGCTAGGAAAAAGACAGATACACGACATGCTGCAACCTCTTCACCGATAATTTACCTGGTTTAAACATTTCAAAAACTTAATTTAGTACACAAAACAAGGTTGGCATTCACATTTTTCCCATTAATAACCATTCACTTCTTAGGCAATATTTCAGCATACTTAAGTGTGCTTCCTTTAAAAAAAAAAAGTCAGAAATAACAGTGTTCTACATTAAGACTACAAAATGGGTAATAACACATGCATATTCTCAATAGTCTGAACAGAATATCAGTATGCAAAATTTCATTCAAGGATAAATATTTTAAACTTGAAAATTTATTTCCATGGAATACACAAAGTTTAGATCACAATTTTCTAAACAACCCTGTAAGACCCACCTAACTACATAATTAAAATAGTCAACTTTTCTTAAAATCATTTTTGGACAACTCAACTCAGCTTGACCAATATTCTTCTGCTGGGCCCATATTTTTCAAACATTAGTGCCTTTTCTTCATTTTCTCCCCTCCTCCTCATTCACCTCTCCGCCCAACAAATTCCCTTTGTATGTCTGCAAGGCAAGATTCTATATGATATACAGTATAACTCTAAGGCAGTTTGAATATATAATTCTTATAATAACAGAAATCTAGAATTATTAATTTCACTTTTTCTAAGAGAAGAACCAGTGATATACTAAATTTCCATTCACATGAATGACAAATGCATCTAATAGAAATGATGCTTTACCATTAGGAGGAAACAAAGGGGGAAAAACACACAATAGATGGGTGGCAAATCTTATAAACTTTGCGAAACACTGAAAAGCTGCATCTGAATTGCAGTCATAATTATAAAAGCACATAACAAAGGCTCCAAAATGAAGGGAAAAGAAAAAAATTCTAAGTGATCATTAAGAGTGAAAAAGGTTGATTCAATATTAGTATTAGTTTTTAATATCGCATCATTTAACTCTATGACTAATTGAAAAACACAAAGAGGATAATTCACTGTTGATGAGGACACAGGAAATAATTTCTACCTACATTCTAGAAGACAGTTATACTTCATTACATTTGCATGGGCTCCAATCCTTTCAAGCGTTTCCAAAAATACATAGGCTTATGATAACTGAGGTTCCCCAATGACATACAATTTATTCTGTAGGCTTAGGTACGGCACATTTTTAAAAGACATAATGAATTCATGCTCAACAAAAATAAGGAGTCATAAAGGCCCTCTACTTATTCAAAATCATTACATAAAGCACTGTCCATAATTGCAAACAGAGTTTGAAAATCTGACAGCTAATAATTATAAAATGGGGTAGACTTTAACGAAAATAAATTACCTAACTTTTCCATTTTCCCTTCCTTTTTCTTTACTACTAGATACACAAAATGTCTGTAAGGGTCTCAGACAAAGCTCTAAATAGTAGAAACAGTATATGTGCACTTTACATTATGTGTATTTGAACCTATCACATGTATGTACACATCACATATATTCACACAAAAAGGAAAGATTCTTTTTTTACTGTAAGATTTGAAGTTACATTAAACCTAAACCCTATCTCAAATTAAATCACACAAATTAAATAATAAAATATTGCACGTATATCTCTCCAAGCGACTATATTCTGAGAAAAAAACCTCAGACTAAGGCCATGACCGAATAAAAATGCCCAATCCCTGAAAATCACTACCCAGCATTTGGTTTCTGTAAGAGAAAAAAGGTGGTCTTGAAATGAATAATCACATTGGTAAGCCAGTTTCAGAAGTTAACGAAGGTAAAACACAACGAACCAAATGAGACGAACGTATAAAATGACAAGCTTTAAAGAATTCCCGCAAAGGGAGACTGACTTCAAGACTGGGATATAAAACATCCTTTGCAGGTAGAAGAATCTTTCATTGAAAAGGGAAAAAAAGGGAAGGGGGACGACAAAAACCTGAACGACGCGCAAAGGAAAAGAAGTAAAAGAAATGGGTCTCTAGGGTCCTAACTGCACACTTTAAACGTGTAAACCAAAAGCAGTTTTATGCAGCTCTAACTGCACATCTGCCCCTCATCCCAAATCTAGCGCACCCAGGAATAATTCTGCCCTGAAAACATAACTAAGGTCTTTAACACAAATCAGGCCCATCACAAGATTCTTTTTTTCTCCCAAGTACCTGGAGGATCCATTTCAATATAAAATATCAGTTCTGTCGAATAGGGCATCATCACCTCCCTCCAGTCTGCGTCATCGCGGTCCATACTCCACACCGTATTGTACATCGCGCTGTCAGGGGCAGGTCGTTAGGAAATATATAGAAAGCATATATTTTTTAATCTGATATTTAAAAATCTAAAAATATATATCTGTAAAAGTCCTACACGGAATGTACTTCGGGGTTTCCAACGGCCAGTACAAGTCCAGGCAACTACCAGGACGAGGACGGGGTCCTCCCCCTCTCTCTTCTACAGCGCCCAGCAAAATGCCCCCCGAACTTTCAACCTACGAGTTTTGCTCCTCAAAAAGATACAGAGAAGGTTGCAGGGGGCCCAGCCCCAAGGTGTTAAAAAGCGGCTTCCCAAAAATCCGTTCTACACAGTCGCTCTCCACAGAGAACAGCTCCCGGCACCTTCAAATCCTTCCGAGCAATCTACTTTTGTGTCCTTCGAAATAATGGGCGGGGGGTGGGGGAGAAAGCGCTGGGAGCAGGTGGGAAAGTGACAAAGAAAAGCATAAAAAGGGGGGTGGGTATTGCGTTCAAGTTTCGGGGTCCCACTGGTCTGCAGAGAGCGATCCCTTTAGGGACCGGGACTCGGGCTCCGTTCCGGCCGGGCTCGGAACCCAAGCTGCTGCAGCCTCGGGATTACGGCCCGTTGGAGAGTCCAGTTAGCCCTGCTCAGCTGGGCGCTCCCGCCGGGGTCCAAGAAGGCCTGACAGTGCCGGCTGCCCTCACGCTCTACCTAGACTCCAGCCACTAGAGTTTCATTTTAACGGCGCGGAAGGGTACACCCTCCTCCGCACCGACGCTCTCCTGCTCTCCCCGCTTCCCCGCTGAGGCGCTACCTAACCTCACCGGGCAGGGGATACAGCCAGTATCACCACTGCCCTTCCACTCTATACCTCCTTGGTGTACTGGGGACTCTGTCAGGTGCCTGAGAAAGTGTTCAGAAAACTGTCCTCCATCTCAGCTTTCAACTCTCCCCACCTCTCTCTAGGCCTCAGCTCCCTAATCATCCATCCTCTCTCCCCCAAGCCTCAATCACAATGGTATGGTCCAGGCGCTGGCTGCACTCCAGGAGTCTGTGCCGGGAGCACGCGAGCGGGGCGGGGAGGAAGAGAAGAGGGGAGGGAGGAGGAAAGAGAGGATAAAGTGGATGGTGATTGGCTGATCCCGGTTGCCCGAGCTGGAGCCTGCGTCCTTTGTCTGCCTTACTTCAGCGAAGGAGCGGGAGACGGCTGCGCGCCCCAAGCAGGCCAATCAGGAGCCAGCCGGCGCCGGCCGGTGAGACAGCGATTGGTCGGAACCCAGTTACTAAGCGGGACAAAGGCAGAAGGGGGAAAGAAAAGAAGAGGAAAAAAAAGAAAGAAAGAAAGGAAGCGCAAACGGCGGTTACTGACAGGCTGGGCGAACGCTCCGGGGCTCAGGCTGCCCGGAGACAGGCGGGGCTCCCACTGAGGCTCGGTCCCCCCGAACAAGTGAGGAGGGGGAGGACGAGCTGGAGCGAGACACCTCTGCCCGGAGACTGGCCGCGGGGGAGGGGAGGCGAGGGGAGGGGAGCGGACGGAGAGGGGCGCATGCTGTTACTTGGCGGGACACACTCTCTTCTGGTCCTTAGGAGGTCCCGGGGCAGATCCCTTCCCCACAGATCTCCTCACAGTGTGCTGCGACAGCCCTCCCCACCCCCCAGGAGAAGTTGTCAGAGCAGAGTCCCCATACCCACTTGCAAAACCGTTACCAATCAGTGAGATGTGTCCATGGCCCCTTGCAACGTTCCCCGGCTACTACTTGTGCCCAGTCTCGGCTTCTCCACGAGCAGTTAGGCAATTCTTGAGGCATTTCGCAGTTACTCTGAGCTTCCCACCCAAGGACTTTTGAACCTTCGGTTCAAAAGGTAACTGCCCAAACCTGAAATTAAAAGTGGGAGGGCACCGCAGGCCAGCTGGAGTGCTCAAGCCAGAAAAAAATGGCTTGCAATTACAGTGTGTGATTTCTGAGATAAGTCACAGGTGTTGGAATCCCTAGCCAAAAGGGCTCTATTCCGTTTCCCTGACAGACCCTCTTCCACATACACCCAGTCCCTCCCCGCCAAGCTTAAAACTGTGATAGGCTTCAGAATGAAAGTGCTGCATATTTCCATGCATTTCAGAAACAGGTAATTAACTTGCTGGGGAACACTGAATAGCCAAACGCAGATTTGTACCTGTGTGGAGGTTGTGCCTGGAATTGCCATTCTGCAGACCCTACAATACAGTCTGGGGAGGCCAAAAACTGCTATTTCCTCTTTAGGCAGAAGCAACAAAGCACATTGTGTTTGGGTTGACAACCTAATTTAAACCCTAGCAAAACCTACCCCCGAGTAGCTCTGCTATATTGATTCCGCTTGTGGATGAGTTGCCATGTTTCATCCTCTGCCTTCCAAAGTGGTTCTGCCTTCCTTAAAGGTGCTATGAGTCGAGATAGTTCCTGGGAGCAGACGCTCAAATGTGTATAGTCGTGGATTAAAAAGAGCTAGGAATGAATGGACAAAGTTGAGCTGAGAAAACATCAAGATTCCTATATGCTTACCCTTTTACATCTCTGAAATCCGAATGTGATCAACTTTGGGGCAGGGTACATTGTTAATTTAAATGTCCTGAACTATTCCTCTAGGTAGAAGATGCTGGAAAATCAACTCTAATTTGTGGCTGGCTTCCCAGCAGTCTCTACTTCATATCTGGAAGCCAGAAGTGCTCACATTTGATAACTCAAAAGGCAGAACAATCAGTCAAGAGCAAGTTGGTTTATTTTTGTTCAGGGGTGTCCCTATGCATTCCCAAACAAAAGGAATGTGAAGAGAGAAAGTGTAGAAAAAAATTATGGCTTTCAGATTTCCACAGCAGCTTTTGCCTAGACCACTTTTCATCATTTAGTGGTGGAGTTTCAATTTCTAATACACAGCAATCGCCCAGTCCTTTCCCACAGCTAAGGCTTTGCGAGATGTAGCGAAGAAGCTGCACAGTGTATATACTCTAGTGCTCAAGACTGTCACATGGAATAAAACTGATTCAACCTTGCCACCTAAATTTGCACTGACCCAACTTTCCAACAAATAGTTGAATAGGAGACCTCCAAAGAATAACAGTGATGCAAGAGACAATGATGAATCAAGGGGAAGCACACTTCCGATGGGCTTTGAACTAGTGCCCTGCCATGGTGGTAAGTGCCTGTCACATGATGCTGGCCTTACTTCTTTGAGCTGAGAAATAGAAGTGAGGTTCTGACTGCTTGTCATTAAACTGCCTCAGGCTCTTTGGCAGAGGTAGAGAATGTTAGCTCTGGTGTCCTGGACCATTTCCATCCTAGAGAATTATATTTGGCCTGGGTGTGGATTAAATTCAGCTCTAAGCACTCAAACTCCTGGGTCACAACCTGCTACTTTAGGGAGTTGTTTTATTCCCTTTGCCTCCCTCCTTTCTTTTAATTTAAAATAGCCTTTAATATATTACAAAATTTGTCTGCTTTCGGATTTAGGCAAGTTTCTTAGTTTATTGTGAAACACTGAGAATTAAAGAAATGTCACTTAAATACTTAAAATTAATAATACCTTTTTATAATTCCTTCACTTTTCACCCTGGTATGGTCTTGTATGAAACTGTTCAAATATGTTTCATTTCTCCCTCTTTATTTCAGAGATGGATGAAATATTTCTTCTGTGGACTGAATATAGGGTATGATCTCAGAGCTCTCTGTGCCAGTAGAATCAGCCTGGAACTCAGCCAAAAGTTCTTCGTGATTAAAGGTGCCATCTGAGCACATAATATTTTTTAAAAAGCTTTGCAAAATGGAAACTTCTATTTTTTTTTAAGGTCACTAACTTTAACCCCAGGACTGACTTTAGCCTCTAGGGAAGGATCACTGGCCTCAATCTCCCTTTTTTTTTCTTCTCTCATTATCTTTCCTTGACCACTTGTCTTAAGGCCAAGTCCATGCAGCTAAATAAACTCAATAAATGGGATTCCAAGAAAACTCTACAAAAAACCAGTTGCAGATTTCAGGACCTCCCCAGCCACATGCCTTGTAACATGGGTATATATCGAGTTATGATGGAAAAGTTTGCCTGTAGAATGTAAAAAGAGCAATGCTAATGGATCTTCTAGAAAGATATCTCACTTGGGACTTGTCATCACTTGAGGTAGCAGTGTCTAAAAATCATGATTTTTCCATTTTTTTTAAGAATGGTATTTCTTTCACGTGGCATTTGCAATTTTTTACCTCTCCTCTACATTTTCTTTAGAACTTGAAAAACCATGATAGGGTTAATCATATCAGCCCAAGGCACTGAGAAATTATGACATTAGATGAATGAGTGATTTGTAGAAGTGGCATTCCTCCAGATACTGCTAAATTCCTGGGCTTAAGGGCACTGTTTGAGGGCTTCCTCAGACTCACCAACACATGATGCAGATCTTCTCTGCCTCACTCTCCCCACTTTTGCTTCAAGGGGTCACAAAAAAAAGCAAGTCTCTTTCACTAGGCTGATACAGCCCTTCTTTTTGGTGTCTGCCCTTCCAGCAACACTGAGGGCCACCTGGATGGTATATATGCCGCTGCTGCAAACTTCCCCTCCATCAAGGCAACAGCTTTCAGCTTGGCTCTCACCAGGAGAGAGCCAATGAGATCCAAGTGACAGGAACAATAGCCCAGGCTGTTTCACCAAGGTAGGGCACAAACAGGGCAGGCAGCTGGTGAGCTCTGTTACCTCATTTAATCTCCGTCACTCTGAGGAAGAGGATTGTATTTTTATTCTTATTTTACAGATGAAGAAACTGAGACCCAGAGCAGTGAGGGGACTTGTTCAAAGTCACATAACTACTTAGGAGCAGAGCCAGGATTAGAGCCCCAAATCCCAACAGCCAGTTCAGTACCTTTCCTGCTACACTACACAGTTTCCCTCTCCTCTTCATTCTTACTTAACAAATGTTCATTGATGCTTCTAAACATCGGAAATACAAAAACAAATAAGAGAGTGCCTAACATTGAGTCCAGAGCCCAGGGTGGGGGGGACAAAGGAATAAATAATTCCAGGCGTGTGGTAAGTGGTGTAGTAAAGAAACCGACAAAATGCTATGTAAGCCCCAAAGACAGTGTTGATCTCTGCCCACATACAGGTGAATAAAAGCTTCCTACAGGAGGTGACATTTTGGCTACCCCAAACTTGTATGCACCTGTTCTAAATATGTGGTCTCTTCTCAGTTTCCCCCAATTCATATGATTAGCTACAAGCCTGAAAATGTTTCATTGAAAGCTGACCCAAAGATCAGGTCACCAAAGAGTTCCTTATCTTTAATCAGACTGCAACAGTCTCCTCATCGTCTCCCTGCGTTGCCTCCTCCAGTCCAATTAGAGTGATGGCTCTAAATTAAAAATCCGAATGTACCACTCCTTTGCACAAAGCATGCTGTAATTACTTTGGCCTTTAGGAAAAGTTTTAAGTCTCAGCCTGGCATTCAAAGCTTTGCTGATCTAGACCCCCGCCTATCTCTCCAGTCTCTTACACAGTTCTTCCTCTCACTTGTAAGACTAGCTATTGAAGTACTACAATTCTCAGAACAGGAGAAAATTTCTCCTCTACACAATTGCACTACAAAGTGGCAAACTCCCACTTTTATGCATCTGATCTTACCGACCGTGCTCATGCAGCCCCCTGTGCTGGCTTCTGCACAGCCCTTGGCACACTATGTTCAGTGTCTGTTTCAGGGTCTATCTATCCCCCACTGCTCTTGGCATTCCTCATGAGTGGATAGGGTGCCCTGGAATTATCACTGCCCAGCATCAGGCCTGACCAGGGTGAG